CAGCTGCAGAACAAATATGTCCAAAAAGTTCGGGTAAGAGCCAGGGTGGGGTTTTAGTCTCTAAACTTTTATCATTGACCTTGTCTTGTCTGGATTAAAAGGCCACATGCTCTTGAGAAGTTTGACTGTGATTGTTTGCAGAAAAGTGTCTCAGAGTGGATGCACAAGGCTCTAGAGGTAGAGCTGACAGACTGGCAGAGAGATCAGGAACCAGATATTGACCATGAGGGCTGCTATCACACCAGCCTTCCAACCATCATCGCTCAGGTACTTCAGCAATGGCTAGATCTACAGAAGCAATGTTGCCATCCAAAGTTGTGAATTTAACTTGTGCGCTAAATGTATGCGCATCTTGGCGTTTCAACCCAGCGTTCTTTTGCAATATCTCAAAATGTGCATAAAATAGGTGGATGGAAACTTAGCTAATGAGAAAGATTTAATCTGATATCAGCACTGATATGAACTGCTCTGATGTCTGGGTTATTAGATGCTAGAAGAAAATGCACGGGTGGCCTTGATGATAAGTGAAGCTCTGCGGGACCAGACAATCCAAATGGGTCTTTATGAGATGGAGAATCTCCTCAGCCGGTGTGTATATTCAGCAATACTGGTATCATAATTCTAATTGATAATTCATATTTTTGTACTTTCTTCTCACTATATTCTAACAGATTTCGAGATGCAATCATAGAATTTGGGAAGGAGCATCGTAGGGATCAAACCATAAACAGTAACAAGTTCTACCTCCATTATCTGCTGGCCTGCATCAGCAACTGCATCATCCTCAAGTGAGATGATGTACAAGTATCTTTTTACAGTATGTCTGTATTTGTGTGATGTTTGTTTGAAAATGTGTGTGTTTCAAATAGTTTTGTGTGTTTTAGAGGTGCTTATAAACAGTATATTTAAATATTTTATTTGAATGTGTACATCTAGAACCTCCACAGAAAGTCTGCAGCAGCAGTTGTGCTCCTTCCCTTCAAACCGGTATTCTCGCATTCCACTTGGACCTCTGGCTGCCCTGGACCGTGCTGTGAGAAAGGCATGTCGCTTAGTCATGGACCATCTCTTGTTTGAGCTGCAACCTCATCTACAAGAGCTCCTGTCTCGTGCCTGGCTGGACCAGGGAGATGTAACCTCAAATATGTGTGGGGTTCTAGAACGTCACTGTGAACTCTACAACAGAGTGCGGCAACCTTGTCGCCAGGTTAGTGTTTACACCAGGCATCAGAAATTACATAGACCAGACCACACAATAAAATTAGTGTATATTTTTACCAATTAACATTTTGTGGTCATTCATCATCTACAGAGGCTGAAGGAGGAATGTCAATGGCTAACTGTTGTTGAGTATGTCCGAGCACTGATGCAGAAGAGACTAGTCTGCAAAAGTAATGATGAGCGAAATCAATTGGCCCAGCGAATGTCACAGGATGCTCAGCAGCTGAGGGACCACCTTCAAAGCATGGTGAAAGCCCATTTACATTCATTTATTTGGGTATTTTTGTGCTTTACGAGCATTTAGAAGTCTGCAATGGTTTTAAACTCAACCTCGTAATCGGGACTGTATGACCTGATCTGGCCCAAGCCAACAAGTATTGGCAAATTTGGCCGAACCTGACCTAAATTAGTTTATTTTCAGATGAGAATATAATATGAGAACATGCAATGATAGGGCATTTATGTAAACCGGTTACATGCGATATTTGTCCAACCTGACACCACAAATAGGCAAATAAGAACGTTAACCCAGGGTTTAGGAATGTAGGCCTACAGTGTGAAATTTCAGTTTATGAATACAGGATTCTGTTTACCTGGGGTTTAGATTGGTCCAGGGATAACTATTTTAAAGTGTGAAAATATCTTCTGTTTATATTTCTTCTCCTAGCAAGATGTCATGTTGCAGATTCAGCTTTGACTCAAAGATGAAACATAAATGCTTACAAAAAGTCACATTATTTAAAACATAACCCAATATGAATTAATTGCAAACCCGAATCTGACACAAACCTAAGTTATTCATGAGAAACTGACCTGAACTCGACAATTCATTGGATCTCATCAGGCTCTGGTCAGGTAGCAGACCTCTAGGAACAATACAAGAATGTGTTATGTCTGTGGAAATTAAATGACTTTGACTATTTCACTGCTGTAATGCTGTTTTTACATTTAAAGGAGATTGATGGGACAATAGGTGAGGTGAATCCCACAGCTTTGATACTTGCACTGGCTGACATAATCAATGTGAAAGACCCAGTCATGCTAATACTGGAGATTTCTGGACTGGTAGCCAAGTACCCTGATATTAAGTGAGATTTCAAACCAAGCATACCCAATAGATCTTAATATTCTAAAATCAATTCTAATACAGAGATTAATCAATGCCAAGAGATTATATAAACTTACAAAGTGTGTCTTTTCAGTGAGGAGCATGTCTCTGCCCTGTTGGATGTAAGAGGGGATGTGCCCAAAGATGTGCGGAAGTCAATACTAGATTTTCTGGAGCAGAGCACCCCACCTTTACCACCAGGATACCGCCCTATATTCACAGAAATCCTTGTGCCCTCTTCCAGCATGCATTTTTGTCTGCCTACTGCAAAGTGTACTTGAGCAGCACTCAGATAAACTACCTATCCAGCCTAGTGAATGGGAAATTCATTTTTAATTCATCAATATTCAATAAGACTCGTCTATTCGTTTTCTGCTTTGTCTTGTCTGAACAATGCACTGTTATATTAGTAAATCATAATGTGCCCACAAATATTTACATGTATGATCTCACCGAATGCTTACTTACAAAAAAGAGCAAAAACAAAATGTATAAAACATTTAAAAACAAAATTAAACATGTATGGTAGGTAGATACAAGAGAAAGCACTGCGCAATCTGGCTCATTGCATTTTTAATTATTTGGGGGTGATCATTTTTTTAATGTAAATTTATAAAAATGTTAACATTACCAAACATAGCCTTCCCAAAGATATTAAATCAATTGCTTTAAAACTTGTATATTGTGGTTCACTATGTATATTGTGGTCGACTGTCAATAAAGTAATGAATTTTAAAACAACATTTATATAAAATTGTTTCAAGGTTATTACGCTAACAACCAACAATGTAAATACAATGGTACATGATGAATATAGTGTACCATTAACAATCTGATAACACTGTACCATGACACATTATTTGGTTATGACATTATTTCAGCCATTAGTATTTGTAGGTATTATTGGAGCCGTGGATACGTTTTCATTTGGATAGTGATTTGAGACATAGGGCTAAACAGGCTACAAAAAAGAGAAATAATAATTATTATAATAATAAAATCATGTATCAAGGGATTATTTTCGATTAATATGTTTAGAGATATTAACCTCTTTGTTTGCACTGAATCTATTGCTCAACAACACCATCAGCTTGAAAAATTATTTGTCAATTTATCAGGCTATTATTAACGATACAAGAAAAAAATTGCAACACTAAATTCCATGCACAAACATTTGCGTTACAATCTACAACAAAAAAAAAGCTTTGCTGTGTTTTTGCAATTTTTACAAACCTAGGCCACCTATGACTGAGAAGGGAATCACACTACAAAACTGATTGAGAGATAAATAATGTTCAACAACAAGACAAGCTTTTAAAGTGCTTTCTGGGCCCAACATTTCAAAGACAAGGACAGCCAATCACTTACCTTGATTTAAAATCGCAACTTTGACTAATATGTCTCAAAATGACAAACCTAAAAGCAGGGGCGTAGCAAGCTTTTTAAAAGTGCGGGGGATGGATGTGATCAGGGCCCTGATTAAGAATTCAGAGGGCACAATGTAATGTTGGCCCCTCCTTAGGCAGGACAAATGTAGTTTGTCCAAGGACATTTAAATTTGGCATTAACATTATGCTGGGGTAAAGTTCATAAATGATCGTTCTTTCTCATTGGATTTTGTACATTTTAAGGTTAAATGCATCAATCTGGTGCACTCTGAGAGCTCAAAATTAAGAGCTTCAACTGGCTTCGACCCATGAACTGTGCACATTGAACAAAGAAAAAGCATTGACTATACCTAAAGAGGGTTCAAACTTATTTTTAGTTATGATATAGAGTCTCAGTCTACATTACATTATCACTGGTGTTTTAGAATGCCAAACATTTATTATAATAATATAATAATGATTTATATAATTATTCCTATGATGGAAAATCCATATAGCCTAAATGTATGCTACTGTAGAAATGAAAATGAATATTTCAAAGTAAATTTTATATTATGCTATAGAATAGGAAAATTACAATACTTTTGTCCTAATTTCTTCACTTGCAAGAAATAAACCCTTGAGTTTTATTTTGGAGAAAACACCAGATCACCATGCTGAATGATCGCGTGAGCAAAGTGCGCACTTTTCTTTAAATCACGCAGCACAAACAGAATGCCTACTTAAATAAAGTTTTGTGCTGTTTAGTCTAAAAAACGAAATATAATACCAAAAACACTCGACATGTCAACAAAACATAAACATAACATCTTCCCAATCCCAAACACATATCAAGCTTATTTAAAAACCTCGCAAGCATAAACACTCATTCAAAGTACCTGGAAAAGGGAGATGTAAATAACCATAACCATAAGTTCCCGCCTCCTCAGCACGAGTGACTGAAAAATCACACCAAGAGAGGCGGGACTTAAGGCAGAACAGCCAATCATCAGCCGGTCACACTCAGAGCCGGTGTCATGTTTGAGAGGGAGGGGGAGAGGAGGACGAGCCGCAGCGAGCGCACACACAGAGCGGCCAGAGAAACGGAGGATCGACTGTAGTGAGGCGTTTGTGCAAAACTGCGGAAAAACTGCAGAAAAAGAGCGGGTGTTGAACCCTCTCACCGGGAAAAGTGTGGGTGTTAAAACACCCACATCCCCCACGGGTGCGACGCCCCTGCCTAAAAGCATTAATTTTGGCAACGGCTGAAGGGAAGAAGCTTTATGTGGTCACGTGATCTTAGGGGCGTGACTTCTTGAAAAAACATGGCCGCGCCCGGAGAGATCATGTTGTATTAATCTATTTGTGAACGATCTAGACATTTATGGTACAAAAACATTCATACTTTAGTGTGTTTATTTAAGACTGAAATGACAATGAAGACCTTTTGCGGTCGTGCAAATCCAACAACCGGAGCGCTGGACTGGGTTGAGGAAAGCGAGGAGTATGATTACCATCAGGAGATTGCGAGGTGTGTAACTTAATCCATCTCATGTAACATAACCATACTTACACAACAACTGATATTTGCGTCTTTATGTAGAAGTAATCTATGATACTTCTCCAAAAATTAAACTTTACATAATGACGTGAAAATTCTAGACATTGACTTGTTGCTATTGTTGTTCTAACACGTGGACGTGTCGGTAACTGTGCTGTGCCAGAATATCAATTACACTTAATCGAATTGTAGTCATGTGCTATCCTGTCATGGGACTGGGGGTAAATTATTTGGACATCGCTTAATAATGGTTTGTGTGTCTCCTATCTAGGTCCTGCTATGCAGATATGCTCCATGATAAAGACAGAGTGAGTTTTGTTGCTGGACACATACATACACAATACAATTACATAAAGAAATACTGTAAATCAAAATGATGGTTCTAAAAAAATGTAGCTCCAATAATGAAGGGCGTTTTGCATTGAATTCATGTTCCATGTTAAAAAGAAAATCAGAATGACATGAGAGAATTTTCGTTTTTTGGGTGAACAATCAAGATTAGCTTTGACATATTCCAAAAGCATATTGACTGATAATGATCTGGTTTTAAACATTGAGAAACTTACTAAATTTGAAGCATTCTGCCTTGTGTTCCTAAGAATGAGAAATACTACCGAGGCATTCAGGCAGCGGTGAGCAGAGTGAAGGCCCGCGGTGAACGGGTGGTGGTCCTGGACATCGGCACCGGGACAGGTCTGCTATCCATGATGGCTGTGACGGCTGGAGCCGACTACTGCTATGCCATAGAGGTACTTACTAATGCTGATGTATTGAATGTCGATTAATAAGATGGAATTTGGCTGAAGACAAAAATGTGAATACCACACAGGTGTTTAAGCCCATGGCACAGGCTGCCACTTCCATCACGGAGAGGAACGGCTTCTCCGACAAAATCAAGATCATCAACAAACACTCCACAGAAGTTACGGTTGGACCAGGTTAGATAACAATCATTATATTTATTATCCAGGTGGATCCAACAAGTACTGTGCATTAGTGTTCTATAGTAGTGATTATAAAACTGATAATTACAGTCATGAATGTTGATTGGTTGCAACAGCATTCAAGCAGTATTCAAATATAGGATAAAATGTATATTATAATATATATGTATCACTGTGCAGCACCTATAGGTACTTAAGGATTATTAAATATTTAAATGTATTAATAAATAATCATTAATAAATGTTTTTTTCTATGATAAATATTTATGAAAATGTTAAAATTATATACCTATCATACTGTATATTGTATATTGTGATGGATTTTTTCTTCCCTAATGCTAACCTATAATCTGACTATCCGCTTTCCTAAAATGCTCAAGCTCTCTACGTCCCTTACGACGTCTTTAGCTTACTCAAGCTCTATACGCTCCTTACGACGTCTCTAGCTTACTCAAGCTCCCTACGTCCTTTACGACGTTCCTAGCTTCGAGTTTTCTGAACTACTCTTACTCAAGCTCTATACGACCCTTACGACGTCTCTAGCTTCGAGTTTTCTGAACTACTCTAAAACCCCTTTGCTGCGCAGCTTTAATGACAGACAGACTTCAGTAAATGTCCTTTAGATGCTTTTAATTACGGCCAGGAGTCTCGAGCAATACTCAGAGAATCTCCCAAGTAAAACCAAGGCCGGTGGATCTCAGACAAATTCCATTGAGAATCCCACCGAAAACACGGAAACAACAGTTTTTATACAATAGGGAGGTATGGCATAATGACATTCATTTGATTGGTTATTCCTTCTGTTACTGGGTAAGAATTTGTTTTAACGATTACTTCATTGATCACAAGTTCTAACTTAGTCATCTGTCTAGTCTCATTTCCCATATTTGTTATTTATACACACAGTCAGGAGTTCGACACACAGTCAGGAGTTCAACACACAGTCAGGAGTTCGACACACACACATTCATGTAGAATACAGAACGTCCTAGAACATGGTTTTTAGAGATTTAGCAGGTTAAACAAGGTCAAATATTAAAACATGGTTTTCTTAATATTCAGTTTAAATTTTCCACCACATTCCCCTCTCTGGCCATAATCAAACATGGCCAATATTAAATTTAATTATTCTAATCAATTTTCTATACCTGCATGACTTACCTGCTCCACCGAATCATCCTATTTTAAGTCAGTGACTTTAATACCACCCGTTATCTCTAATCATTTTCATCAACATCTTTTACTTTATAATACCTTTAAAATATTCCTTCAATCAGAATCCTAAGCTGTAATGAAATTACAACCAATTTCCAATGTTACCACATACACATACCATCTTCTCATCTATGCATCTCCTTGCCAATATTCTATCTCTAGTAAAAAACTAAACATACCATAGTACATTGCCTTTTAACTTTAGACCTTGAGTCAAGTTTCATAATTTTTAGCTATCTTTCAAATCATATTGATCTATTAGGCCTTAACAGGCCGATAATTAACAGATGGACATAACTTATACCACCTCTAAGTTTTGGCAATGCGGAATAGCTCATAATGGATCCATTGATCCAGATCATTAAATCTTTAGCTTCATTGTGAATTTAGAAAGCTTTTCAGAATTTTTTTCTATATTAGCAAATACTCTATTTCTCTGAATCGTCTAAACTGATTAGACTAATTTTTAAGTTTAAATTGAACATGTTTTTTGGTCATATTGTTCTTGGTCTATATTTTTAACTCTGTCCTCTACATAATTTGTTTTAATACGTTACAATAACAAAACAATATTTAATTTCTGGAAAGCCGGGCTAAATAAGCAAGCACTGTTGCTGTATTCCTAGCTAGCTAGACCCGCAGTCACCTCTCAGATATTAAATACAGACATTAGACAATACATGAAAGGAACATTTCAGTAATCACACTGGTAACTTCTTCAACTAATAATTAATCCATAAATTAAATATGTTTCCCAAAATCAATCCCCTTTTGAAAGGTTTTCTTTAGCTATTTTAGCAATTGGAAACATCTAATATATATATAATGTAGTCATTAGTTCATCACTATAGAAGTTTACCTAATTATCTATTCAGACCTAATCCGGCAAAGTAACTTATCACCTATTCTCTCTTACTAGAGAACAACTATTGCTATTAATATTTTTTAGCATCCATGATTGTAATGTCTTCATTATAATTGTAAAACCCTCAAGTTTCTTCAAAAGTAATCCCTAGATTATTTATTATTTTTTCTTCAGTAATGCACCTAGTTAGAGTCCCTATAATCTACAAAATTAAAAGATTTTCTCCTTCTTAATTTATATGTACCTAAAATATTTTCAAATTAATCAGTAATTGTTCAAATCTCAGCCCTATATCAATTCTCAGTCCTACAGTTTGATTGAACCAAATAAAACATCAATAAACATCACATTATTGCTTCTGGAAGAACATCACATTATTGCTTCCTAAGCAAAAGCATTGCGGAAGGCATCAGTGATCCAATCTAACCCCCCATCCTGTTGGTTTGTTCTTTGCCTGTTCATCCTGCCACAGATCATCCCGCACCTCTGTCATATCGTCCAGTATTTTGAGATGGAACTCCCATCCTCATCATAAGCTGGAATGAACAAATTTAACTCATAGTGATTTCTTTCTGTGTCGGATGAATAGTCATGATGAACAGGCAAACTTCCCTTCTCTTTCTACCCTGGTCACATCCTGGAGGAAATTCAAACAGAAACAGCAATATGATCAAAAACATCACTTATGAATATAAAAACACACATGCTGCACTTGAACACTCAGTTAGACCACATTTGCTCCCAGGTGTGCTGGTCGTCGCGTTGGCCCCACAGACGTCTGAAACGTTCCATGTTCACCTTGATTGCTCTTTGCGAGCAATAACAAGGTCTTTTCCCACGCAGGTAGAGGAGGCACGTTTCCAGCACGTCCTTTTGTTTTTCTTCCCCTACTTTCCTCTGGATGGCGGTTGGTGGGGCTTGCAGTGTGACACGTGAACCCAAGCGTCACGCTCGGAAACTTTGATTGCTGTATTCGTTGTTAGAATGATCTCATACGGACCCAGCAATCTCGGGTTGTCGTCGGCGTTTGGGTGTGGAGTTGCTCAGGGCTGGTTGGTGTAGTTTAAGATGAGATGCTTGCACAGAGGTGTCACCCCACCCCAGATAGGACCTTGCTTGTGGAGTGAGCCATTTCCTGGCTGCTTTGACCTGTTAAGGGAGACCTTAACTATTTTTGTTAGTGACAACATGTATTAACATAATCTGCTTGTCTGGCCGGTCGTCCTTTCTGATCAGACCTGTGAAATTTCATGATAAACAGTAACAAGACAATATTTTATACATTTGGAACAGAATAAGTTCTGTTCGACCGGATCCATCATGACATCCTGTAAAAGGAAGAAGGTTAAATGTGGGGTGGACAGGGCAAGCATGCTTGCTCTCTGCCTTCCCAAAGTTATACGCTGCGCAGGTGTGGCACTGTTTCTTTCTGCCACAACAATAACCCATCTCAGGATAATTAGCCAAAATCATCCATGGCTATTATTTTATTGGTCATAATTTACTCTGTTAGTGACATCAGCAAAAAATCCTGTATCTTCAAAAAAACATTGTAAGGGGTTAATATTTCAGTCAATCATTTCTAAATACAGTCAAAGAACAGGACGTTTTTAGTCCATTTTCAAAGTTCCATTGACCAAGGTTACATCGAGTCAAAAGTTTCTTAGATGGTTAGATCATATCGAAAGCTCGTCTGAAGGCTACATCCTAAATAAAAGGAAGTAAGATTTATTTTGTTCTATTGTTGGATCTAGAATGGAAAGTTAGTCACCATCAGACATGAAAATGGGAAGTATGATAAAGTTTACCATAAGATAGAAATATAAAATCAGAGTTTTATGGTTAGCACCATAATTAATCTTATCTATTAAAATTTCCATTCATTCACATTCACACACTTTCACACACACACACACACACACACACCCACCCCTCTCTGGCCAGAGAATCATACCTTTTTTGTCTGCCATAGCAGTTTATGAACTGAATGAGGAACATATATTTTATTAGGAGTGGAATACCACCAAATCCGAACGGTAACAACTTTTACGACAGAAACTACTGAACGTAGAAACACTGTGGCATTCCCCTTGCGACAGTGTCTAAACGTTAGGATATTAATTGTCAATTGTCCGATGCAGTCACAATGTGTTTTAGTTTAAACACAGTGAACGTAAACCTCAAAATCAAATAGATTAAACACTTCAAAATAATTGTATAGACCTACGGTTGCAGTTGAGAGATTCAGCTTCAATCCCTCAAATGCAATTTGTCATTAATTGCACAATTTCAATTTTTCAAAAACTTTTTGTTGTTGCTCCTAAGCTATTTAAAAGAAGATTTGGAAATCTTCACACAATTTTGGATCCATGGACAAAAATAAAATAAACATTTATATCTCGTACCCTGGTGATGACAGCATGTGATTTCAAAAGTTTATAATTAGAAACATTGTTCTTATTGAATCCAGAAAATTACCTTTTAAATGAAATGGAGTGACCAATATGTTTACTTTTCTAGCCATAATGTCTCTTTGGGACACTTTATGCCCTATATTTAGTTATATATATATATATAGTCAATAATATATTCTCAACAAATTCATGCTTTTACCACTATTGGTTTAAGTAATAAGCCTCACTATCCAAATCCAGTATTTTAACTGATTGGTGAGTCAGTCTCTCACTTCTGCTATTGAACTTCCTGTATTAGGGCTGCTGGACTGGTCCTATTGGAAGCAGATTCAAAGTGTTAGTTGAAGAAATATGAAGAATTGCTGAAACCAGTGGATAATCAAAAACAATAATCAAGTTAATATGATAATTAACTAAATTTGAAACGTTCTCTGTAGTGATCATTGAAAATTCAGCAACTGGCCCACAAGTGAGGGGATGGAGGTCTTTCTTTTCTGTGT